GTGGGGGGCGTGGTCTCGTGCAGGCCCGCCCACCGAGCACCCGCGTGCGCGCGCATCCCCCCTCATAACGGGTGTAGGGGTGTGTTGGGGGGTTGTGCGCGTTTGTTCTTGCGCCTTCATGTGTGCATGTGTATGTGTTCACGTGTGTCTGGGTTCACGTGTGCGCATGCATGTTCGTGTGTGTGTGCACCCACAGACACCCCCCAAAGCTTTGTGCGTGTGTGTGTACTCACAGACACGCACGCATACAAACACACACAGACACCTGGACATTCTCACACACCCTCCCCATGTATGGGCACCCACAGACGCACCCACAAACACCCCCATCCCAAACTCTCAGAGTGCGTGTGGACATGTTCACACTCATGTACACACCCCTACACATAGACTCTGTGTGTGTTCGTGTGTGTGTGTGTACATACCCACCATGCAGTTCCACCCATCTAACCCCCCTCTGTGTCCCCCATGTGCACACCCCCACACTGCGCCCAGGTGTATAGGATAGACCTGCACACACACACACAAACACAGACACATCTCCACACCCACACTGTGCACACACAGTGTGTATATACCTACACAGACACCCCTACACCCCACCCCAAACACCTGCTCGTACCTGTGCTACTGTTGATCCCACCTCTCCCAGAGCTGAACTGGCCCCACTGCCCCAGCTTCTCCTGCTGAAAGAGTCACCCCAGTCACCCCCACAAATCCCAAAGAGCCCCCACCCCAGCATGCCCAGAGATCCCCCCCATCCCTCCAGAATCCTCCCCAGAGGACCTCCTGGGATCCCCAAAGACACCCACCCCAGTCCTCCCAGAGAATCCTTAGTTTCCTCATCAGCCCCACACCAGATTGTGTCCAGTACATCCCAGTCTCCCTTGCACTGGCCAGCCCAGCACAGCCCACCCTGCCCTCCCTGCGCTGTACCGTGAATTAATTGTCCCTCCAGCAGACACACACACACACACTGTGACAACACCCCCAGGCCCCCCAGCCCCCAGGCACCCCCTAAATGAGACTCAGAGCCCATGGAAAAGGCAATCTGATATAAATAGCGATTTACAAAGAATACAAAAATAGAAGAGGGGGCAGCACCTCATGGGATCCCCCGGGACCCTCCAGCCAGCACAGCCCCCTCAGAAGCAGAGAACTGTGCAGGAGTTTGGCTGAGGGTACCGGGGCCTCGGTGGGAGTGGGGAGCCCTGGGGGTCCTGCTCTGGCACTGCCTGGGATCCCCCAGCACTCCAGGGCACAGAAACTGCCCCCAAGGGGGGAGGGAAAGTACAAAAAGCGAAAGTGCATCAATCTACGTGTCCTGCCCCCAACCTGCGAGGACCCCCCAGGGGCAAGAGGCACAGGCAGCAGTGGCTGGGGTGGGGACAGCTCTGGGGGGGGGCCAGCAGCCCTGGCCCCCCTGCCCAGGGCAGATACGTGGCATTGTTCTGGCTTTGGGAGGTTTGGGGGTCACTGCTGGGGAGCAGTGGAGGGTGGGGTAGCTGAGCCCCAGGGACCAACACCCCAGGCTCAGGCACACCCTCTGCACCCCTGAGTGCCCCCTGTAAGACAAATGTGTGTGTGTCCCCTGAGCAGGGCACAGGGACCCCTCATGCAGCAACAAGGGGGGTCCCACAGCCTGAGCTCTCCCCCAGGTAGGGACAATGTGACCCCCTTGGGGGAAGCCCCCCCAGACTGACTCCCCCAGACATGGGTTGAGGAGCATGGGGGGTCCCCCAGGCATGGAGGCCAGGCTGGCCCCGCTCCAAGGCACAGGCGGTGAAATCAGTGATGGCTTCAGACCCGGGGGGATTAAAGCTGGTGTCTGTACTCCAACACCCCTCTGGGGCACTGGAGAGTCTGGGGGTGCTGGTGTGGGCAGGAGGGGCTCATTCCCCACCTGAGCAGACATCCTGCTGCATTCCTGGAGGCTCTCAGGGCAGGGATCCCAGCCTTAGCAAGGCACTGGTAGGGCAGGAGAGGTTGGGGGTCCCTCTGTGACCCCTGGCTGGTTCCTGACAGCGTGGGGGACCTGGGGCACCTACGCCAGCAGCCCCATGCGGGTGACTTTGGCTGAGAGGAAGGTGTGCAGGACAAAGACGATGGGTTTGGGGCAGGAGTGCAGGTCCAGTGCCTGGGGAGAGATGGAGAGCGGCGTCAGCCCCCCACCATCTCAAACAGTTCCCCGCACGGGGGGCACCACATGGTAGGGGATCCCAACCAGCCAAACCCAGCGGGTCTAGACACCTGGGACACTGAAGGGTTGGGGGAAAGCAGGAACCACCCCGGAGGAAAACCCCATAAACAAAGGGGTGAGCCTGGCTGCCCCCTCCTCACCAGCTCCCCCTCAGGGCCCCCGAAATCCAGGTAGAGAGTCCTGATGCCATCGTCTGCCGACATCTTCAGCCGCTCATAGGGGTAGCGGAAGAGGACGCTGGCGCCCGGCTCCTCCCGGGAGATGGTGAATCCACCCTCGTAGTGGATGGAGAGCTGGACCTCCTGCCCGCCCAGCGTGCAGCCTGCAGGCACGGCCACCATCAGACCCTGCCCCCCTGCCAAGCCCCACAGCCCCAGGAGGGTGGGAATGGGGGATCCCTGGGTCTGCCCCGCAGCACTCACCCACAGTCACCTCCTTGATGAGCTCAGCAGCAGCGTGGCAGCCCTGCACCAGGACACGTGTCCAGGCCGAGAGGTCCCGGTGTGTCTCCACGCGGAACACGTGCATCTCCACGCCCTGGCGCGACCCCGTCCGCGTGGCAAAGGTCAGCTCCGAGCCCAGCGCAGGCGAGCGGCGCCCAGAGCCTGAGTGGACCAGCCTGGAGGGTGGGACACAGATGGATGGGGGGGTCAGGGTGCCATGGCAGTGCCAGCACCATGGCACCCCATGCCCATCCGAGCTTTGGCATTTCCCCCTGCTCCAAGAGGCAGAGCCACGGCTCGGCCGAGGGGCACTGGTCCCCAAGAGGGTCCAGCCCAGCCCACCTGGTGGCCACCAGTGGGTAGCTGTGGCAGGGGGAGGCCCAGGCATCCCTGGTCCAGGGCATCCCGTCGTATAGCAGCAGGTCCTTCTCTGTCACTGCCATGAGCACCGGCCGCCACTGCTGCCGCCCGCCGTCCAGCCGTGCCTGCCAGGCATGAGGGCACTGTGAGGGGCACCAGGGGCTGCAGGTGTCCACCACTGCCCAGCACCTCAATCTCTGCACTCATGGCTGGATGGATCCCAACCCAGAGGCTCCACATTGACAGGATCTCAGCAGCACCCAAGGTGCTGCCATCCTCTATCATCTGTGATTCTATCCTGGCAAACCATGCCAGGAGCAGCCCCCAGGGGTCCTGCTCACCACCATGCCTGGGCCAGCTGCAGCTATCAGGCAGCGAATTCATGGAAAAGGGAGGGTATGATGAGTGTCTCCAGATAGGAAACCCCAGTGGGAGAGGGGGCTTAGGGCATGGGAAGCACTGCTATTACTAGGGCGCAGAAGGGAGAGTGGTAGAGCCAGTGGCCAGGCTGGGCTCTCTGGTTGCATCCATAGCCCCAGTGAATCGTCGGCACACCCTGTTGGCACTGCCATCCCCAGGAGCATCCCAGCACACCCCATTGGCATGTACCTGCTCAGCCAGCCAGGCAATGTGCTTCACCTCCTGGCCGCCGGCCGTGGGGCTGCCGGAGCGCAGTGTGGCATTGAGCTCGGCCAGGACCTGTGGCAGCAGCGCAGTGATGTTGGCGTGCAGGGCGCTGAACCAGGCGTGGGCCGTGGCCGTGTCCCGGCACCGCAGCACCAGTGTGTTCCGGCTGTCCGGTGAGTGCAGCTCAATCAGTCTGTGAGGGGACGGGGACAGGAAACGGGTAGGATATCGGGACATGGTGCGGGGTGGGATATCAGCACACCAGCACCCACCAGCAGCCCCTGCCCTCACCTGTTCTCCAGGTCAGGCATGCTGAGGTTCCGGGCAGCAAAGCACATCTTGAGGGGAATCACCTTGCGGTCACGGGGCCCCTGGTGCTGGGGAGATCCTGAGTCCTCACTGCCACTCAGGCTGGGGGACTGTGGGGCCACCCCCTCCCATGGCAGGTCCGACACCAGCGATGGCTTCTTGATGTAGGGGGTCACCTCCCGCATGAACTTCACTGAGGGGGTAGTGGGGGGCACAGTCAAGGTTGGGCAGGGTCCTGCACCCCAATGCCATAACCCTTTGCCCCAGGGACACTCTGTCTGTGGGGTGACGTGCCCTCCCTGCAAACACTAAGGCTTGGAGAGTCTTGGGGGGTCCCACTCTCCCTGGGACGGGGATGTCCTGAGTGAAGGACGGTGCTGGCAGCTCATCCTGGTGACGGCGCGGGTGTAGGAAGGGGAAGGCA